TTTTCCGCGCCCTTTTTTTTTTTTTTTTTTTTTTTCCTTTCCTCCTTTCTGCAGCTCTGGGCTGAACGTTTCTCAGTTACACCAGCAAGCTCAGTGGAGTTGCTCCTGATTTACACCCTCCCCCCCTTATTGAGAACATGGCATTTGGCTGAAGGGACAGTTTCTATAACTCACTGGGGTAAAATTCCCAGTCTGATCTTTGCCTGAATTGTAATTGCAGGGTGGACCCCTACGTTACATTGACTGCTGCTGCTTATTACTATTCCTGTAGCCCTGACACGATCAAATCACAGCTGAGGACCCCATTGTGCTGGGTGTTGCACAAAGGCCGAACAAAATGATCCTCCCTGCCCCAGGGAGTGGCCTGGGTATGAGACAAGAGGCAACAGATGGATGCAGACAGGGGAGCACCAGGGAACAATGAGATGATGTTCATCACATCAGTAACCGGCAGGGGTCATAGCACACCACGAACCGAAGGGCTGTCAAAATTTTTTTTTTTATGGTGTCCTGGCAAAGGAGAGTTTTGAGGAAGGCTTTGAAGGAGGATGAGGCGCCTTTGCAGATGTGCAGGGAGGGGAAAGGCACCTTGGGGGTGGAGAAAGCAGGAAGGAGCTGGTCTGCGAGTGCCAGATGTGGGCAGTGGAGACTGGCACAGTGGGGCTGGCTTGGCAATTTGGGTGTCGATGGTGCATTTTGCTGGTAGACGGGACCCAAGAAGGGAAAGCGAGTTGTGCCCTTTCAGTGCAGTCTGTTACTTTGCTCTCCTCTTTCCGTTCCCAAAGCACGAGGTGCAAGCAGGAGAGCAGGACGGGGCAGTGGGGTCATTCGACAAGGGGTCAAACCCGCGGGTTTTTGCCAGTCGCGCTTCTGTGGAGCAGTTTTCTCCAGGCTCAGGATGTCTGGAGGCCCAGATCATGTGAGCAGTTTGTCACATGAGAAACTGTGTTGCACAGAAATCCACTTCATGCCTGAGTCTTTACAGGACTGGGGCTTTACCTCTGGCAGGGGCTCCTCATCCCTGCAGGGGTTACACACCCGCGGGTAGAGGCTGGAGTTTTGAATTTGCAATCTCACGTAAGCTCTTTGGAGAGAGATTTTCCACCCCCAGAAATGAGGTGCTGTGGGCACCATCCCAGTCCCATCAGAGCAGCTGCTGGTTTTGCCAGATGGTACCCTAAGGGTGGCCTGGCACCCCATGCATGCAAACAGGTCCCGTTCTGCACAGCTTGTGCGGATGCTTTGCAAGGGGGTGTGAGAATTGCCTGGAGGGCACTTATTTGACAGCTAAACAGGGAATCAAGCTACTGCTTGGTGATTAGGAGGAAAAAATGAGAGCTGCTGTTTCACAGGCATAACACCCTGGATGCTCCCAGACACATGGAAGTGCCCAGGATCTGCGACAAAGAGTAGGAAAACATCACTTGCCTTTCCTAAGGGTAACATTTACTCCTGGGTGGGAATTAAGTGTTGCCTAAGCCTCATATTGTGTGCCAGGAGAGAACATGTCACCCTCATTGTGATCTGTAGACCCCAACAGTAGCTTTGTGGGGGAGGGGGGAGTTGCAGGTGAAACTCCCATAGAAATCAAAGCTAGCGAGAAGGACGGTAGATTCAGGCCCAGGTAAGCACTTGGTGGTGTGAGGATATGGGGCAAAACACCTACCTATCTTTAAGATGGACCGTGACACAGGAGTCAGGGCTGCGTCTCGTTGCAACATCAGAGGCCTGAATCCCAGGACCAGGAGGTCCCTTCTGGTCCCTGCAGGTTTGTCTGCATTGCAGCCTCCCGCGCTTTCTCTTTGGGGGATCTGTCCTCCAGCTCTCCTCACTGGAGTGTCCCAGTATCTCAGATCTTGTGACCATATTTAACATCTCGCTCCTTCGGGTCTCAGCCTGCTGTCCTGTCCCTCCAACTCCTTCAAAACCCCCGGGATCAAATCCTGTCCCTGTCCAAGTCAGCTGCAAACCATCCCCGTTGGTTTCCAGGATGTGTTGGCAGCAGACAGATGGGCTTATTCCATTTATCGACAGCTCAAAATGTCTCTTCTGAGAGACGGCTTTGTCCTACCTGTGCACAGACCCAGTTGTCCCTTTACTCTGGGAGAGATCGGGGGGAGAATAGCATGTGCGAGAGAGAGGAGGACCAGCAGGCGAGTTGCAAAGGAAAGGATCGGGCTTCTGCTTTGAAGCTTGCGCTTCTCCTTTTGCCCCCTGGCAGCTAAAGCGACTTTGACACAGCTACATGAGCGCTCTGGCTTGTCTCTAAGGAGGTGAGTCAACTCGCCGCTGGCACCGACTTCACTGGGAACTTGGACCCGCAGTGAGTGGACTCAAGCCCATTCAGGCCAGTGGTGAATTTGGCTCTGTATCTGAAAGCAAGCCTGGCTGGGTTTTTTTTTTTTTGTTTTTTTTTAATGGCTTACTTTAAAGGGTCCCCATCCCCCCCCCCCCCCCTTTTTTTTTTTTTTTGTTTTTTTTTAATGGCTTACTTTAAAGGGGCCCCCCCCCCCCCCCTTTTTTTTTTTTTTTGTTTTTTTTTAATGGCTTACTTTAAAGGGGCCCCCCCCCCCCCCCTTTTTTTTTTTTTTTGTTTTTTTTTAATGGCTTACTTTAAAGGGGCCCCCCCCCCCCCCCTTTTTTTAGTTTTACTGCACAAACACCCCTTTTCTGTTTGAAAAGGCTTGGGTGCTAATTCAACCACAGGAACAACTTACAAAGAGAGGCGTTTAATTCCTCACCACTTCCAGTCCTGAAGTCAAGATTGGATATTGTTCTGAAAGAGCGGGTCTCACTCGCACGCAAATGATGGGCTTGGTTAAATTATTGGGTGAGGTTCTTTGGCCTGTGGTAGGCAGGAGATCAGACCAGATGATTACAGTGGTCCTATCAGGCCCTTATATGAACACAGTCTGTGCATTTGGGTTTCTTTACCTGACTTTTTTTTTTTTCTAAGGTCGTCCAGTGCAAAATCTCTATTCTCTCACCATGACCGTTCGCTGCACACAGTGCTGCCTCCCTCCCTCCGATGTCATTTTGCTTAGATTTTGTTCTTTGGATTTTACCTGAATTCCAGGTCTCGCACCCCCCCCTCCCCATACACATATATGTATATATGTGTGTGGGAGTGTGCATGTGTGTGCATGGAGCCAATGTGGTGTGTGTGTGTACTATGTATGTACACACATACATCATTGGCTCCGTACACAA